TTTCTTGATCTTCTGGGACTATCTTATTAGATGCTCATAATAACCCTTTAATTGAGGTACTGTTATCAGTCTTACTTTACAAATATGGAAGTCACGGCCATACCATGGATGAGGTGCCCAGAACACAGGCAAGTCTAACTCTGGAGTCTCACATTTCTTGTTAAATGGAAGACTTTCTTAAGTACATTTAATTATAAAGCTATCACTGGTCACCCTTAAAGTGAGAAATCACACACTGTGATGGGTTCTCAATCACCTTTTGATGTCCAGGCAATTCCCCACATCTCTAGTAGTGATGGAGCTGAGAAGGAAGCACTACCCAGCTGAACCTGACTCACCTCCCTGAGGTGGTGTCTGCCCACCTTGGGAATTCCAAGGTATACAAACTGATATCCTTACGTGTGAGCAGTACTACTTCTGGCTCCACCCAAAGCTCACTTGTGGCTCCAAAATATTTTAAATAAAATATATATTCAAAGATTTAGTCATGTTTCTCTCACTCAACACTATGTGAAAACAGTCACAGGATTCAGTACCAACCCATAATAAAGAAAACGGAATTAATAACAATAATACCATACTATTTTCCCCCTCAGGTTTGATCTGTTTCAGTCAGTAGCAGTAATGATCTCATCTCATTTCCACCACCCTGAAAACATCTCAGATGGATTTTTTTGGTGGACTGCTATAAAATTATCACTGGCATTTTAATTAAAAAAGAAATGTATGTAGAATAAACAGGACATTTCCTCTCCGTCTGCAGGGCTTGCTCCACTGCTGCTTTGTGTGATCTGGTAAATTATGCAGCTCTCACTGGAGAGAGCAGCTGTATTTCACTGTCTCCAGTAATGTAATGTACATTTATCACTATTTTAATTAAGCGGATTCTTAATTTGGTACTCTCATTGCGAAGAAAAAAAAAATACCTTTCCCATTTTTTTCAGTAGACAGCATCTTGTCAGTAATGCAGGCTAGAATTTAATTTTAAACATTCTTCTTACTACAACCAGTCGTTATTTTAAAAAGAACTATCACATTTGGTTTATTAAGTTATTGTTCATTTGCATTATATCAGCTTAAAACACTGGTTCCTTCTTCATATGATTTTTTTAAAGATATTTTTGTAACCCAATGACATATTAAAAACAATATATGGCTTATAATATTAAATTCAGAGTGACTCAAAATCAATATGAAATACAAAAGCATTATAAGACAAACAACCCTAACTGCCAAAAAAATTCAATTCAGAAGTTCTTTGTGTGAGATTATTTTTATCATTAAGTCATCTGGAGTGTCAATTTAGCTAAATACAACAGCTTTTAATTATCATCTTGAAGGTAAGTTCTAAATATTTTGTTATTAATTTTCTAGTATTATCTGTAAAAAAATGTGTTTAATTAAAAAATAAACTGATGATTACACTGGAAGTATGTTTTAAATGGTTCATGGAGAAACAATTACTTCAATATTGCATGGACACATTACATTGTGCATTTTCATACATACAGTATTTCAAATCTTTTACGCTACTAAGGGAAGTCCCGATGTTAAAAGCATTTCTGTATTCAGCACACATTAACTGAGCATCTTTTATGTGCCAGGTACAAAATTAGGTGCTATAAATTCAAAGACAAAGGCCTTACACCGAACAAAAGGATTGTCAGTTATCAACAAAGCATACTTCAACAGTACAGTACCAGTCAGTGGCTTTTACCCTTTGTTGCCCCAAAGGAGAGTCTACGGAAGAACCACTTTAATCTATTTAACAAATTGCTATTTTTTGCAGCTAGTGGAGGAAGAAAAAGCCATTTATCAAATGAAAAAGTATCCTAAGTATTCCCTGATTACAGGGGGAAAATTTAATAACTTTATTTTAAATTATTTAAAGTTTTATCATCTGTTTTCATATTGCCAAGTACTAGTAAATTCAACTGCAAACAATATACAAAGATGACTGTTTCAGATGTCTGGAAATGAGGTTCGTAGGAGCTCAAAGTAAATGCACATCTAATTTTGTCATTGTACATGACCAAGAATGTTGAGCCAACTTTCAGATTCACAAAGGATTTTTTAATCAAAGGTCAAATCAAAATGTCCTCACATAAAGCAAAGCCACTGACCTTCGCACTGTGATATTTGAAACAAATTTATCATTGGGGCACTTATATAGTGACTTAGCTAACTTATAATACGTTATCTCTAATCCCTCACAAAAGCTTCAAAGGATAAGCAACTTTACTCCCATTTTACAGATGAGAACTCAAACTCAGAGGTTTGGGAATGTGTTTAGCATCACATGGAATACATGGAGAAGCAAAACAAACTTGGTCCATAAAATTTTTCTCTTCTAATCGTAAAGATGTCTGCTTTTATTATCCATTAGTAGCTTCACATCTAGTTGTAGTTCACAATGAAAAACTTGGCTATCCACTTGTATCATCCAATAGGTAATCAAAGAAGAGAGGAAGGGACATCTAAAATTTAAACTGATGCTACTGAATGACAAATACTTGTCATTCTGTCAGTCTCTTGGTTTAATTTTAAATAATGTCATGTATAAAGCCTGGCTATCCAATTCAGGAAGAAGTAAAAGTTAAGTTCTAGGCAGAAGAAACAAGTACAAAGGAACTAAAGTATTTTAAAAGTACTCTTATTTTGGACCTCAACTTCAAAAAGATATTTCATGAAGAGACAGTACAGCTTGTAAGACTCCTATCTCAAATTACTCTGATGAATGTCTGATAAAACTTGGGTAACAACTAGAAGTAGCCAATAATTGTAAATGAAAACTCAGAATGGTCTTTTGTTCCCTTTGTTTAAAGTAAATCTGCTAGTGAAAAACAAGAATGTCTACTTAGGAGAAAAGGGTCTCTTGTCTGAGCAAAAGTTAAATTTAAATACCCTGCTTTTCACCTGAATACTCCAAATTATCTACATCTCTTTACTGTTCACTAAAAGACTACAGAGGGCAGTGTTGCATCAGCTTTGAGGCTTTATAACAGAAGTCTTAAAAAAGACTGTCTATACTACAATTTCTCTAAAGGGTCAAATGCATGGAAATCTAGTAAGCCTAATATATAGGGAAAAATGTATGATTTGCTAAAATAGGCCAGACTTCAACAGAGAAAAAAAAAACTTAACAAAAAACAACTGTCAAATTGAGAACACAGCACTACACTGCACACATTTTGCATTTTCCTTTGTAGTGCTTTCATGAGAAAGGTAACTAATCACAGCACCTCCTTATCCACTGCAAACAGTACCCCACTGCAGAATCCTTCTCACAATCAACTGGAAAATGAATGTAGCATCTCATGCCCGTCCTTCCATAATTCTATCAAGAGAAAGAACACAGCCTGTCTGCATACTTTTGTCTAAAAGGCCAATTCCATTTGTTGCCTCTTTGGTAAAATGACAGCTACAGATCAATCACTCTCCATGAGAGAGAATCAAAACTGATTTTGAAAACTGAGATCCTCATCTTTTTAAACATCATTTTATTATACATGAATACTCAAACTCAAAACAAAACAGAAAAAGCAGGTTTTTACTCACAGACATGCATTTTGAGCTACTGTGCAGTGTAACATGTTCTAAAAGAAATACATTACATCCAATATTCACGCATCTTGAAATCACATACGGATGGCATCCAATTAAACTTCTACATATTGTCTATTCTCTCCCATTGGTCCTGTTAGAATTATTTGAAATTAAACTCAATTAAGGAAAGTGCCAAAGATATTTTAAAAATAAATATGCTTGAAATGTACAATAAGACTAAGTACACACAGCGGTAAAGCTTCTTATTACACCATCGCTTAATTTTTTCCACATGCTTATTTACCAAAATTTAATTTTTTGATACTACAAATAACACAGAAATGAAGAGGAAATCAAATTATTTCATCTGGATGATTTAAAAATCATGTCATAAATTGCTGAACCTCTCCAGAAACACATATATTAGATATAAAAATTGTACTATTACAGCCCCCAAAACTAAAGATAATGTGTAAAATGAAAAGGAATACACTCTACTAACACAGATCAGATAACACCACCTAGACCAACATTAGTACCATACTGGCACAAAGCTGAGGCCTTAATACAAAATCCCTAATTCCCTACACGAGTCATTCTGTGACTTTCAAACTTCCAGAGAGATTAGCACCTTCTCTGAAATCAAACTGCAGAACTGTGAAAGTGTTAATAATTCTTCAATAATATGTCAACCTACTATTAAATCAAAACGTGGGAAGGAGATTTAGATGGTATGTAGATTTCACTGTAGTACAAAAGCGCCAGTTTAACAAGTTATTTTCAGCCAGTAAAAATCAAAAGTAAAGCACTGTTAAAGTCGCTAGTCTGACTCCAAGGCTTTAACTTATTAGCTTAACCAAAATGCTAACTGGAGTACTGCACCCTTAAAATATGAATTTATGAGTTTTGCTTCGTCTTCTCCTGAGGCAAAGCAGTTGTAGGTGTATTGAATGAATGCAAATAAACAGAAAGCTTTTACAATGGTCTAATAATATGCTAAAGATAAAAAACAACCCTTTTTAATGAATGTTGAATGCACAATCCTATAAATCAAGTTTGTATAAATGGACTATACAATTTAAAAAATCTGTAAGATCCTCTAGGAAGCCAGTATACAAATTCAGAAAAATTAAACATAAAAATTAAACATAAGCCTATTGCTTTTCACTGATCTGATACAAATAAATGCTTACAACAGAATCAAAGTGCTGCTGTGAGTGTGAAGAGTCACATGCAATTTCAAAGAAATCTAAGAGAAAATGTCACAAACTGAGAGAATTTTTATTTGTTACATTGTTTTTCATCTACCACAAGGACTACTGAAAAAAATCAGGTAATATCTTTTTACTATTCATGACTTTCAAGTAGTTATTTTAGTTTACTATTCTAGAAACATAGCATATTAAAATCAATTTTAGTTAACTCTAATTTATGCAAAGCTTGACTGTGAGGAATAGCTGCTAAAAGGACACAGCACTGCTGACTCATGTACAAGTGTTTTCTTAACTACACTGGATATAACAGCAGTGCTCTTAAGGGCATGGAAGGCAGCATGGTTAGCAGTCGTTACTGTTCATTAGTGCTCACATGGCATTACATGTTGAATACATGGAAAGTTTGCTTTTGAAGGTTTACCAAACCTTGCCTAGGTAAGTATTGGGATAAGCCGTCAACTACCAGTAAGCGGAATAAAAAACAGGGACAGCTTAGCATGCAATTAGTGTGTCTAAGTTTTTAAACAGGAAAGGGTTGAGGGGAATGAGTAAAACTGGAAACTCATACTTCACATTCTGAAATCTCACTGATAAAAGGAGGAAATGTGTGTTTATCAAAGTCGCTGTGAATGCACAGTTCATTTGGAGTGCTTAACAATCGCCTGGCTGCCCACTTCCAAAAGCATGTGAAAATCTTGGGAGTCTCACAGCATCTTATTCAGCAGGCAAGGTCACTCTGGTGATGCCCTGGAAATGGGAAATTAGGAAAACGTGGCAATCAGAGGTTTAGGACTGACCAGAAAAGCCCTGAGGCTGGCTTACCATCTTTCACCACCAGTCAGGCTGTCTCTGCTTATTCAGTATTAACACAACAGGGTTGTGAGAGAATGAAAATAACCCTATGCACCTAACTGGGACATTGGCTTCCTTGTTTAGAAAATGACAGACATTTGTCACAGAAAAAAGAAAAATATCTCTGAAGCAAAGCTTTCAAAAACCAGTTCTGAAAGAAAAACAGGTTCCTCATAAGCCTTCAGAAAGGACCTAGGGAACAGCTGACATCCTGTTGATTATCAGGTTTCCTTTCCCTTATACCATTCTGTGCATTTTAAAATATGGGCCAACTCTTCAACAAAGAAGCCTTGAAAGCAATATATACCCATTAGAAGACAAAAGTAAAAAAAATCAAATGAGCAAAAATTATACAAACACTCTTAACGCTGTCCACTTATAGACCTAAAATTTATCCTCCAGATATTTCCCCATGCACATTTGCATACAAATAAATTTTAGAGAAATGTTATTACAAAGAGTACTTGGTTTCCTTCCCTTAATAATATATGCAGATGTATTTCTACAACTTCACCTTGATGATATATGGCATTCCACTGTACAAATACATAATTTAGATTGCCAATCACTTATACATCTTCAAGTATATTTATAATTACTTCTTTGGTGTGAATTCTCCAAAGTGGAACAGAGTATACCTTTTGATGAGTTCTGTCAAATTACCCTCCAAAAAGGGTGAACCATCCATAGGGTCCTACCAGCATGAGAGCACCCCCTTCTCTAAAACCTTTTCACTGCTTACTCATGCCCAATCAGAGCTGTTTGAGTTAGTGAGACTAAACTTTTTTTCTGTGCCACTTGAATTTCTTTCTCTTTGGAACACTAGTTCATGTCCTTAGGTCCTATATCTTTTTGGAGGCATACTTTTAATCATCCAAAAAACATTAAGTAAGAAATTCTTCACCAAATGCTCATGTCATTAATATGATATGGCTTGAAGAGAAGACAGTAATCATATGAAGATTCAACACCTTGTTAGGATTGGTAACTTCGCATGAGCGTATTTTACAAGAAGGGATTTCCTAACTCATCCAAAAGAAAAAGGAAATTAAAACCTGAGCTGGGATTATAAATGTGATATCACCAAAACTATCTGTGCTTTCCATGAATGAACAAAACCTCTGATACTAAGCTGGTGTAATAAACAATATTTTGCTGTTGTCCCTTTTACTTTTCCGTAACTCTATGGATCAACCTGAACATATTTTGAAAATGTTAATTGTTTCACTGAATATTTCCATAAGTCAAGGAAGGAGACCACTAACTCTGAATGATGGACAAGTCCTTCATGGAATTATATTGAATCAAGAACTTAATTAAAATGGGTCATTCTGGTGAAAAAAAAAAAAGGTGTAAAAAAATGAAAACATGTCTCGTTCTCTCCTGCCCAAATCAATTCAATTTAAAGCCCCTTCTCACGGAACCAGGTAGAGATTGACCACGTAGCCAAATATATTAATTCCTAATACACCTATAGAACCATGTTTAGATTTGAATATAATTGCAAATGACAGTTTTTTTCTTTTTCAAACAAACCAGTTTAAAAAACTACAAAGTTGATACTTAGAACAGTGCTTCTCAAACTGTTAGGTATTACTTTGAAAAAAAATTTTCCAAACCTTTGAGGACAGAAACTTGTACAACTTATAAAAACATTATAAGAAACAATTTCTGAAAGATACAAAATACAAATCCGTGTTTTTATGATTATGCATTGTGCATGTACTGTTATATACAATTCTACCACTTACAAGCACAAGCTCATGTCCTACTGCTTTCTAGCTGTGTAAGCTTGAATAAGTTACTTAACCTTTCTGTGCCTCAGTTTACTTATCTGCAATTAGGGATAGGATAATATGCCCTACTGGGTTAACATAAGGATAAATCAGAATCCTTACGTAAAGAGCTTATTAACAATGCCTGGAAGTCCTCGTGCATAAAAAATAATTTTAACTATAGAAGACAAAAATAATTGAAAAGACCATGGCTCTAGGTTTTTCCAACAAAAAATATAAGGAGGAAAAGGAGTTGTACAATTTATAGAGTTCATACAATGACTACTGCCCAACAGTTACAGTAAGGCAAAACTGTCACACACACTAAGTCCTGAGCGAAATTTTACCCTTGGATCACCACCAAGTTAACTCTGTAATTGTGGAAAATCCTCAACAGCGTCCCTAGAGCCAGTGTATAGCAAAAGCTTTTGTGCACCTCTTACGGTCAAGGCACTAATGAGCACTGAAGCATTGAAAAACACAGATAGCACTATACATATACACATGTATGTATGTATGCATATTTTTCACATCTATGTTTTTCATGTATGTCGGTTACAGAGCAACAAAGAGGATATACTACATATAGAAGTAATCATATAAACATGCATAATGTAGTAACTAATCACAGAAGTAACAAAAAGTAACACCTGAGGAAGTCTGGTCAATGCCTTTTGCATCCCTATCTCTCATCCTCCAAGTTAACATTCAAGGAACTATTTAGAATTAGCCAGGTCCCCAAGCCACTGGCTCTGTCTATAGTCTCCATCACTTCTTACCTCGTTGAGATCTTAATGTCTTTCTTAGATACACAGCATCCTTGTCTGCTCTCAGCTGCAACTATTTAACTCTTCACTCTTTGGAACCCCCAGAAGACCCCTCTGATCTTTTGGCACATAGCATGTGCTACAAACTCAAAGGACAATTGATTCCTGATTTGTGTAGTCATAAATTCTCCCAGGTTACAAGGTATTCTGAAATTGATGGTTAAAAACAGTACTTCTTAAACTTTTGAAAAGGACTGACCACTCTGAGGCTAAGATAAAATGTAGATCTCTCCCCTCCCCAAATTTACATGTACTAAAATTTGCATTAACATGCTGGAGTTCAAGAATAGTCTTCCTTCCAGATTTAGAAATATTTTCTTAAAGTATATGTTATGCTACATTGAGATCCACTAATCTGATTAATAGTTTTCTATGATTAAGTTCAGGTTATATTACCCTCACACTCAGAAGAACTGGATGAGGGCTAAGGAAGTTACAAAAATGGCTTAAGAGAGAACTAAATTACGAAAAGCTCAAAAGGGAAGACTACGGTTTATTTATCAAATGATCATCACTCCCCTCTCCACCTTCCTGCAAAATTAATTCCCAGGAAACAGTGTACAAGGGAAGTGGTCTTAAACAGCAGGCCATTTCAGTATGTCAGTGGGTTTTACAGATGTCTAAGAAGATGGGTGTCAGGTGAGTTTTGCCAAGCTTGGACAGTCTTAACTCTGTTTAGTAAGTTTAACAACTGCTCACTAAGCAACCACTTGAGCAGGCGCATAAACCACCATGTGCCCAGTTTACGAGGCTATAGTAACTGTGACATAATCTGCTGGTCTTGAGGGCGGACATAACAGCTCCATGCCGCTGCCTGTGGACATCCACAAAGCATTTTTAAATCTATTAGTTCTGCATATATTCTGAGAAACTTGCAAAAGCAAGTCCTTGTTTGGCTCTTTCTTTACAAATGAGTTAACAGAAAATATACTGCTTAGATTTTAAAGATAATCATGGAGCTAACTCCTTAAAGAAGAGACCAAAATAGATTTTAATGGGGAAAAAAGGATTACATAAGAATCTTTGTCATTTTTTTGTTCACCTCTTTATCTCCTTCTAAATGGTCCATGCTTCAGATTATTCACACAAGAAGCCAGAGAGAAAAATACTAATTTCCCATGTCTCCTTGAAAGGTGAATTATCTACTGACAAAGTCTAAAAAGAGTAAAGACAGCCAAAGATCATAAGCAACAAATGTGTAAGGATAAATTCAATCCAATATATGATACAAATCTGTCCCCATTAAAGTGTCTTTCATAATCTGAATGATAACCATTAATTTTCTTTTCTGCATCGACTTACTAATAAAGTCATGAAGAGTTCCACCCATCTCAGTGCCCACTCACAGCAGTTACTTAGCATTGGCATTCCAGTGGAACTAAGTATGGAAGGAAACAAACAACTTCACCTGACTTTGCTGGATTATTTTGGGAGCTAGGGAATGAAGGAGAAGAAAGACCTGAGATTGACATGAGGTTGACAGGATAAGAAAGAAAAACAGAACAATTTTATGTAGCATCCTTCTTTTAAAACCTGAAGAGCCTCTCATACATGATCTCAGAACAGGTGATTAAGAGTCAAGGAAAGACATGCACACATTTCTCAGATGGAATGACTGAATTCCAGGTGAGCAGAGCTCAACACGTAAGAAACAAAAAAGAATGTGGTACAACCATTCAGATGTAATCTTGCACTTCTGCCTAGGGCCAGCCTTGGACTGAAAGCCCCTTACCTCTGCCTTCTGTATAGCTTGGACTACAAGCATAGGATACTATGCCCCCCTTGTTTTCTGTTTTGTTGGTTTCTTTTTTTGTAGTACTGGGATTTGAACTAAGGGCCTGACACTCACTAGGTAGGTACTTGAGCCATGCCCCCAGCCCCTTTTTGCTTTAGTTACTTTTCAGGTAGGAGCCCACATGGTTTGCCTGGGCCAGCCTGGACCAATCCCACTACCTATGTCTTCTATGTGGCTGGGACAGTGAGAGTTCAACACCACACCCACATTATTTGTTGGGAGATCCTGCTGATTTTTTGCCCAGGCTGGCCTCGAACAACCACCATCCCAACCCCACCTCCCAGGTGGGTATGGGGCTCTGGCATGAGTTACCATTTTAGGCCAGCACCCTGCTTTTATTCTGAGACAGGCCTCGCTAGCTTTTCCGCCCAGGTTAGCCTGGAGCCCTATCCTCATCCCCCCCAGTTGATGGGATTATAGGGATGAGCACTGCACCCAGCTCATTTTTTTTTGAGATAGGGTCTCCCTAACATTTTTGCCTAGATGGGCCTCAAGTAG